AGGAAAGAAATGTTTTAAAGGATAACCAAAAAGAATCTCAGTTTTTCAGAAGCTAGAATGATGAAGGCTGCCATCAACTTTACTTTCCTATATAAGAAGCACACATTCAAGAGAATACACAGTGCAGAGGGTTGGGGAATATTCCAGGGAATGGTAACATTCATAATATTATCCCAAACAACAACAAAGAGGCAAAAAGGAACGCATTACCTGCTGAGTTGTAGCATCCTGCTGGACATAAGCTACCTGGCTGGGGTCTGTAAACAGAGTCTAGACAAAAACAAAAACAACAACAAACTTATCAATAGATCTTTAGACAGCTCGGGAAAGAAATGTTTTAAAGGATAACCAAAAAGAATCTCAGTTTTTCAGAAGCTAGAATGATGAAGGCTGCCATCAACTTTACTTTCCTATATAAGAAGCACACATTCAAGAGAATACACAGTGCAGAGGGTTGGGGAACATTCCAGGGAATGGTAACATTCATATTATCCCAAACAACAAAGAGGCAAAAAGGAACTCATTACCTGCTGAGTTGTAGCATCCTGCTGGACATAAGCTACCTGGCTGGGGTCTGTAAACAGAGTCTAGACAAAAACAACAACAACAAATTTATCAATAGATCTTTAGACAGCTTGCCTACACAGAAAAAATTATCCTATTGCTAAGCACCAATTGGTGGGAGAGTTAACTCCCATAGAGCTAGTAATAATCCTTCATTAATAAAGAAGATAACGATAGTAATCTTACATTTAGCTAAAGCCTTTCATTCAGATGGCACCAAAGAGGCTGTGTAAGCTAACCATCTCAACTGGCTAACATACTTCAACATTTTATTCGTCAGCAAAGCCTCTCTTGAGGCTGAATGTCACGGCTAATTTAAAAGGCCTGTCATGAAAACATAAAAGACACGCCATGAGCGGGGGTGCATTCACTCACACTTAACACTGTGAACCACAAGGAGTAGGCCTACAATTAAATGAAAATAATAAACATACATAAAAATATAGAAGAGTACTGCACATGCAGGCATGGCAACTCTTTCAAATATAAAATGCACACATTATCAGAAGAGCAGAAGAAAAATAAACTGAATTTAATGTTCCATAGATTTTTTTTTTTTTTCAGAAAAGCCAGTAAAATCACAATTTAAAAGAAAGTTCTCATGAACACATAATTTATGTCATGATGCAGCAAAGCTGATTACGGAAGAAAAATCTTCAAAATTATTTTAGCCCAGGGCACCACAGAAAACCTCCAGTCCAGAAAAATATTCTTTCCCCTAAAACCTTTAAAAGACTTTAATTTGCCCACGCCTTGAGCAAACGTATGGGAATAAGAACTATGGCTACGTTTCGATTGCAAAAGAATGTAAAAGAGAGTTTCAGCCAGTGCCAGATTCTTAAATCTGACATTAAAAATGAACAGAATTCAGACTTTGGGGGGGGGGGCGCAATGGGGAGATGAGGACACATATGTAATACCTTAATCAATAAAGAAAAAAAAGGAATTCAGACATTTGGTAATAAACTAAAAGCTGGACACAGAACAGTCTTTACATAAACTATGTGATCTTATTTTATTTTATTTTATTTTATTTTGTGTGTGTGTGTGTGTGATCTTATTTTAATACAGTTAGGGGACTATGCCTAAGCAGAGGCATTCCAAAACTATCATTTCAATGTTTGGCAATTTCATGTTTATACCAATTTGAAAGGTATCAATTAGGTAGGCTCCATTTCTTCTTGGAAATGATTTGAGCCTTCTGATTAAATATTGCACATAAGGGCAAATTTTTATTACCAGGATCCTACGATAAAAGCATGGAACTTAATTTTTTTCAATATGCTTAAAAGTGCTTTGTCCAGTGTAAAAAAGTGCTAACAAGAGAAACGAATAGTTATATATTGGGGAATATTTGTGTCATACATTTGGAGACTAATACCCCAAGTCACTGGCAAAAAAAACAAACAAACAAACAAAAAACCTATAATTTACAGCTTTTACCTTCGCTCTATTACAGTCCTGCAAATCGGTAATGAATTACAAATAAATAGCAGTTAATAAGCTAGTAGGACCTTTGCTTATACATTTAACTACAACTCTGTGTGTTTTCCCTGGCCCATCTTTGTTTAAGCTATGCAGAACTAAATGCCATTTTTGGCCTGCTTGTTGATACTTAGGAAAAGTAACATGTTGATCTAGTCCATGATCACTGGGGAGAAGAATTGATACAAGCCCAGCCTCTAACTCAGCGGCTTTCAACCATGTGCCGCAAGGATTTTTAAAACGTGCAATACCTGACTACATAGTCAGGGGTACTGGCCTCTTTTCCCTTAGATTGTCAAATTAAAAAATAACAACAGACAACACCACAACAGCTGTCTGGTGTGGGTGCCCTGTCTTGAACTATATATATATATAGGTCATATAATAGAGCTGCATCTTACTGGTCATGTTGCATAATAAGGTTATGTCTGTTTGGTTAATTCTTTGTGCCAGAAATCCTTATATACAAGTATAGGCACCTGATTTTTTAAAAAGTCACTCTGGAGCAAAAAGGGTAGGTAATTATTATTATTGTTGTTATTTTTTGGTAAATCAATCAAAAAATATACCTATTTTTGGGTCAGATCGGCAAAAAATATTTTTTTGGTGTGCCGCAGAGTTTAGTAATTAGTTTACATGTACCATGCAATGAAAAAGGTTGAAAATCACTGTTCTAACTCATTACATTTAATTTAAATAAATAAATCATATCTTCCTCTGCCAAGCTGGTTATAAACTCCTTGAAAGCATAAATCTTATGGGAACATTTCCTGTATCAACAGCCACCGTGGTGACTGGCAGAGAGTAAACAGCAGTAATGAGTGAATCAACTGATTAATAAGCAAACTATACACAACAGTCATTCACATGCCTGAGCAGCTTCCACAGGATGGATGTACACCAGCGTGTGCTCGGGACCGTCCACTGACGTGTAGGAGGCACCATCTGCCGTATACACCACCTGCTGGGGCGGCCGAACCTGGTCATCGGTGTAGACGATCTGAGCCACAGTTCCGGCGTCTGGGACAAAGTGTACCTGAGGCAAAAAGCAGCAAGGATGTAGCAATTACCCCTGCAGCACAAAACCAGTCTCACAAAGATCCGTGCAGACCAAGCGGAGTACACAGCTGCGTGCCTAAAATATCCCCCCACGAAAGAGGGGATTGATACATTCGCACCTCTGCGGAATTAGTGACTGGGAGGCAGGCCAACTCGTCACTCATGATCTACTGCTTACTATTAGGCCACTCATGTAAATTCCCCTTTGCCTCAAATATCCAATGCGGATATCTCTGCGGGAGCTTATGGCGGGTACTGAACTAATCCTGGAAGTAGGACTGAAGGGTCCAGGTCAATAACATTCCCAAAATAAAAATTATTCTGTAATGTTAAAAAAATATATTCAAGACTCAAAAGCCAATTGCTGTTAACACATCATAAAAACTCCACTTTGTAACTAATCGTGCCTTTCAGCAGACACTAAAATAAGGTCACTCTCTCTCCTCTGAATTCTTTCACACTCCACGGCGGCACTGGAGGCAGGTCAGTAAATTTTTGCTGAATCAAGGACTGTAACAGAATTCCTTGCCCGCTAGATCAACATACAGAAAGTTCTAACCAAGTACTTTTAAGGGGTTCTGGACAACTCTTTCAGTTGTCAACAGGGTAAATAATTTTCCATCTACCAAGAACGAAAGCAGAAATTGAATTTCCTAAAATGTTTTCTGAGTAGTCAGCTTCAGAGGTTTTGAATTCTAGAAGGCTCGAGTTTGGCACACCGCCTGAGTCTGATATTGAAGGTACAGAAGCAGATGGCCAAGCACACTTTGGGGAGAGAAATCATTTATGTGCTGATACTAAAGTTGATCACTCATAGTCCATGACGCACACCAAGCATAGGCTGGAATCCTTACTCCTATACTGTCTTGTCTTTGGACCTAACTTTTTTTCTCCGATGGAGAACAGTAGGACCCAAAGATGACATAAGCTAATTTCATCCCCAGAAACCTAGAGAGCAAATGCAATCAGCACCACAAGAAATAAAGCAAACTTCCACTTTTACACTAAGTGATCAGTCCTGCTTCTACATAAATTTAATTTGTCCATGAAGGTGCAGTTTATATATTGGAAGAATTAGGCTTATAACATACTTGTGCTGCACATTTAAGTGCTGCAAGATAATATTGTGACTTTAGATTTGCCCATTTACATCAAAACCCTGCCCTGGTTTCAGTGCTTTAAAAAGCAAAAAACATTTCCTCCTCCACTCGCTGTCCTGCTAACCCCGAGTCCCCAGCGGGGAGAAGGCAGGGTTGGGGGAGAGGGCGCAGTGAGGGAGGTGAACTCTGCTGTCTGCTGCTGTCTGGTGACCCACGTGTGGGGACCCTGGCCACACAGTGCCGTAACCACATTTTCTTTTACTCTGTTCTTCAATAAACTACATTTCTGTTTATAAAGAAAATACATGGTAATATATAGCTGCATTGAAGTGCCTTCAAAATGGTTTCCATGAGAACAAAACAGCATTCTCAATGGCTCTGCTCGAAGCATCTCCGGAACGTTTTTTTAAGTATTCAGACTCAGACATTGAAATCATACCAGATGATCCATTTTATTCGCTGTAATATTTACTATATTGTTTAAGTTAAATTACACGCATACATCTAAAGGTTTCAATGAACGTCCTCATTTTGATATTATTGTGGTCATGTCATTCAATGAAAAATTAAATAAAAATTCCATATTTACTATAATGCTGGAAAAACTAAGTTTTGTACTGTGGTCACATACAAAAGCTGCCTCCCCGACGCACAGCAAACATGCAGAGGGCCTGGCTTTGCCGGAAGGAGCGTGCCCAGAGCCGGCGGCTGCCAGGGCAGCGGTTTCAAAGGCAGAGATCGCAATCACCGTGGCACTGGCCTAAGTGACTAACCTCCAGGGCTACTGACTCAACGGGACAACCTTCAATCAGAGGTTTACACTCCTCATTGGAAAAGAAAGAAAAGCCACTCATTTTGTAGACATACCTTGAACTTCATTACTCGCAAAAAAAACAAAACCATATACTAGATAACATCAAAGTAACACACTTTTGCCCAGCCGGCGTGCTCAGTGGTTGAGTGTTGACCTATGAACCAGGAGGTCATGGATGATTCCTGGTCAGGGCACATGCCCAGGTTGCAGGCTCGATCCCCAGTGTGGGGGCGTGCAGGAGGCAGCCGATCAATGATTCTCTCTCATCATTGACGTTTCTGTCTCTCCCTCTCCCTTCCTCTCTGAAATCAATAAAAATATGTTAAATAAATTTTAAAAAAAAACACTTTCAGCACCAATAACAAAATAACATGGAGGAGTGAGACAGACTGTGACACGAGCTGGGGAAAGCAGAGAAGCCTCGGGGTTGGAAGTTCAGCCCCTCTGCATCGCATGGGAACGCACTGCGGGTTCCTCACCTCCGGTTCTGCAGGTCCGCTCCCTCCTGACTACTCACTACTGTTTGGAAGCTGCTATTTAGCTGTGAGCACATGTCCCCACGCTGGAGACCCCCCTCACCTGTGTGGCGGTCTCTTCGTGTTCTGCAGCCGCGGGCCACACGTGTGAGCTCTCATCTTTGGAATCCATCCTTTCCCTGGACAGCTCACGTCGGGGCGCCTAGAGCAGCATGGGGCGGAGGGCAGTCACCTGTCTACCACGCAGGTGTTCATGAAGGACGAAGGGATGTCTCTGCGATGTGCCTGCAAAAAGAGAGAAAAGGAACCAAGGCTTTAAATAGATGAATACATTTTAATAAATTATCATTTCAACCACAAAGAGAGAAAAATAAAACTCTGTAAAAGAGAACACCTGGGCAAAAAGGTAGAAGTAGAGAAAAAAATTTTATACTAATGCAATGTCTTGCATGCTGGCTATGTTCTTCTAGGCACACATGATATAATGTAACCCTCATCAAAAATATTTAAGGTGGCCCAGCTGGCCGGTATTGCTCAGTGATTGAGCATCCACCTATGAACCAGGAGGTCACAGTTTGATTCCCAGTCAAGGCATATGCCCCAGTTGTGGGCTTGATCCCCAGTGTGAGGCATGCAAGAGGCAGCTAATCAATGATTCTCTCAACAAAAATATAGATTGATGTATCACTCTCTCTCTCCCTCTCCCTTCCTCTCTAAAATCAATTTAAAAAAATTAAAAAAAAATACTTAAGGCAGTTCTCTTAGTTCCGATTAGAAGAATGAGGTTCTAAATGCAGGTAGTGATGGTTCACACCCACGTCTGAGTGCTGCACAGCCCGAGCCCCCCTCTTCCACACCTGCTTAGACGCTGAGTTCCCGTACCACCTTCAGAAATGCACAGCAGAATAACAAAAGTTACAAAACGAGAAAAAAATGGCAGGCAGAGGAGGCTAAATGTTCTGGGCCCCCATTGGGCGAGCACAAATGTAAACTTTGTTTCCCATTTGGTCAGCATAGGAGTGATGAGTGAACAAAGCCTTACCAAACATCAACCAGCACTGAACCTACCTCTTGGAACCTTATTCTTTTCCAAAACAGGCATTTTAGGGAAATCAATCGTCCCTTTAGATCAGTGGTTCTCAACCTTCCTACTGTCGCGACCCTTTCATACAGTTCCTCATGTTGTGGTGACCCCCAATTTCATTGTTACAAATTGAACATAATTAAAGCATAGTGATTAATCACAAACACAATATGTAATTATATATGTGTTTTCTGATGGTCTTAGGCGATCCCTGTGAAAGGGTCGTTCGACCCCCCAAAGGGGTCGCGACCCACAGGTTGAGAACCGCTGCTTTAGATGATGATAGCATGCTGACATTTTACAAGCCCGTGGGGTTGCTGTTTAATGGGGCATCGGGGCAGCCGTGCCTGATAAACCGCCTCCGGCCACCCCACCGAAGAGGCCTGTGTAGACAGGAGACGTAAATCTGCCCAGAACACCATCGAACTAAACGTAATTTCCTCCCTTGCTAGTGATGAAGGGGACCAAAGTTTTACCTTTTGGGATATTGATTTCAAACTGGTTATTAAGAAACAAGAGACTCAGAAAGGACCTTTGACGCTCTCTCTTCCTGCCTAAGAGACTGAGATGGAAAGACCCGCTCCAGGAAAGGAATCTTGGGATGCTCGCCTTACCTAATTTGAATTAATATGGTAAATGGGAGGGCGCCAGGCAGAGGCCTCTGAGCTAGATACGCTGTGTCCTGTTGTTTCTGAGGTGCCTGCCCCATGTACTCAGCGCTTCCTCAACTACAGCTACACTGCCTGCTCTCACGTCTGAAACCTAAGACCCAGCCCAACCCCTTTCTCTCCTTTGTCCAAAAGGTCATACATACCCAATGTTGCCTGTCGTGGAAATGTTCATGCTTATGTGAATTCCCTGTACACAGGTATTAAAATGTTGATTTCCCCTGTTCATCTGTCTCTCTTCATTTGCTTATTAGCCCAGCTAGAACTTAGCAGGTTCTTTTATCTCCCACCATGGAAACAAGCTGAGAAGCACATTCTAAAACTACACATGCTCCAAACTCCGACCCAGATTAAGGCCCAAAGAAGAAAGAAAGAAAAGATGCAGAAACGCCCAACGTCTGGGCCTGACTCAGAAACACAGAACTGCCAAGTCCCAGCTGCGGGGGAGCCTCTGGGAGCCATGAGGAGCCTGTTCCCCGCCACCTCAACACCAGCCACCATCCTCACCCCCCCCACGCCCTCCACCACTATGCTCACCCCGCAAGCACCCCGTTCTGCTCTCCACCCGGGACCATGTGCACCAGTGGGTGAACGCATCAACAATGGGACAGAGGAAACTTTCTGAAGAAATGGAAAGGTTCTACATCTTGTATCTGAACTGCAGTGGTGGTTACATGGGGAATAATGTGTTCAAAGTAAAAAAAAAAAAACAACCCTCTTTAATTAAAATATGTGAATTTTATTGTGTATAAATTATCTATATTTTAATAATATAGCATAATATGCTAATTAGACCAGACAGCCGAACACCCTTCTGGACGTCCTTCCGGACGACCTTCTGCACAAAGCCAGGGCTGCGAGGGCCGAGCCCCTTGTATGAATTTTGTGCATTGGGCCTCTAGTAGCCTAATAAAGTTAGTTTTTAAAAACTCCTTACAAACAGCACTATTTAAGCAGATCTGAAAAGATATTCAGGATGAGTTGTACAATATGTTCATTATACCACAACAAAGCTAGTTTTTTAAAAGGAACAAAAATATTAAGAAACATAGGAGAAAATGTCAATGATAATATAAAGACCTGGCCCTCACCCAAGTGGCTCAATTGGTTGGGTGTGGTCCCATGCACCAAGGGGTCAGGGCACATGCCCAGGTTGGGGGCTTGCAGGAGGTAGCCAGTCGATATTCCCCCTCTCTATCTCCCTCTCCCTTCCTCTCTAAAAATCAATAAAAATATTTTTTAAAAGAAATAAATGTGGTACATATATACAGTGGAATACTCTCTTCCCTCTCTATCTCTCTCTACCTGAACTATTTGAGAGTAAGTTGCAGATACTGCCCTTTAATACTAAATTCATGCTTATTTCCTAAAAATGAGGACATTTTCCCACGTAACCACAGTATTAATATCAAAATCAGGAAATTACCAGTGAAACAGCACTATTACCTAATTTACAGACCTTCTTTAAAAGTTGCCAACTGTCTTGCCCTGGCTGGTTTGGCTCAGTGGATATAGCCTTAGCCTGCGGACTGCAGGGTCCCAGGTTCAATTCCGGTCAAGGACACATTCCTGGGTTGCGGGCTCGATCTCCAGTGGGCACTGTGCAGGGGACAGCCAATCAGTGGTTCTCTCTCATCATCATTGATGTTTGTATCTCTCTCTCCCTCTCCCTTCCTTTCTGAAATCAAT